ATGAACATCGTAGAGCATATACTTTTGTTGTATGATAAGGCCTCTCTTGGGTATATTCCCAAGAGTGGTATTGCTGGGTCCAGGGGTAAGTTGATCCCGAAGTTCCTGAGAAACCGAAACACTGACTTCCATAGTGGTTGCACAAGTTTGCATTCCCACCAGCAATGGATGAGTGTACCCCTTTCTCCACAACCTCTCCAACAAAGGCTATCATTGGTGTTTTTTATTTTAGCCATTCTGACAGGTGTAAGATGGTATCTTAAAGTTGTCTTGATTTGCATTTCCCTGATCACTAAGGAAGTTGAGCATGACCTTAAGTGTCTTTTGGCCATTTGAAGTTCTTCTGTTGAGAATTCTCTGTTCAGCTCAATGCCCCATTTTATAATTGGGTTGGTTAGCCTTTTACGGTCTAGTTTCTTGAGATCTTTATATATTTTGGAGATCAGACCTTTGTCAGTTGCGGGGTTGGTGAAGATCTTCTCCCAGTTAGTGGGTTGCCTTTGTGTCTTAGCGACAGTGTCCTTTGCTTTACAGAAGCTTCTCAGTCTGGACAGCCATCAGAAAGAAGTGGCTATGCCACACCCCACTTCTCAGGTATTGATTCAGTGTCTGTTGTGGACCCAGATATCTAACATTTTAATAAGCATGATTTAGTGTCTGTCGTGGACACAGATATCTACCATTTTAATAAGCACTCCCTGCAAATGTGATGCAGTAATGCATGGCCCTTTCGGGGAAATGGTCTGATGGGGATGGCGTCCATTTCAGTCCTGGTCATTTAAAGGAACCCATGCAGACTTCTGTCATCTGGGGAGTCTATGAATGTCATTGTTCTACAGTGTGCTGCTCTTGCTGCTACCTGCTCAACAGGATGTGTTCCTACAAGGCATCACAGACCAGCTGCTGGTCACACGGATGGGAAGAAAAAAGGAAATGACTCACCTGGTGAGTCCCACATGATCTTGTCACTCTTGCTCAGGTAACAGGCTGACCAGACCACACCACACTTGGTTCTTCTCCAGGAGTTGGTTCTGCATGGAAAGTTCACTGTTTTCTCCCCTGTTCTACTAGAAGGCAGAGAAGGAGGAGAGAAATCTCATGGAGAGGGGAGGAAGGCAGATGAGAACGCTCATGCACTCTACTGTAGTGAATATAGGGATGGAGTAGTCTATCTGCATCCAGTCAAGTCAAAGATGTGCAGTGACATCTTCCTCTTCTTTGTTCATCTCACAGACCCTTCCTATACAGACACACACACACACACACACACACACACACACACACACACACACACACACACTCACACACTGGTGACACTGATGACTCACATACTGGAAACAAGGGCTCATGTCAGCTTCTTGTCAACCTTCTGTGTGTACTCTCTACAGTCTTGTTGTACTTCTCATAGAAGAGACCTGACATTGACAACCTTGAAAAGGAACAAACTTGGAGGATGAACACCTGACTCCCAAACTCCTTATAAACATAGAGAAATGAAGACAGTGTGCCTCATTGGTAATTACAAGAAGACAGAAAAGAATATGAAGGGGACAGAAGAGTCACACACGTGTGAGAGGACACCTTTAGCAAAGACACAAAGACACTTCAGTGAAGCAGGCATATGCTGGTCACCGAGTTTTTCTGGGACTGTTGGTGGTTATAGGAGGTACAGCCCAGCATCGTGATCAGCTGCCTAAGGATAACCCTGTTCCTTTGATGACCATGACCTTGGTAAAGCTGGATCTATGATTAGGCTGCAGAAAAGAATTTCAGGAAAAGCCAGAATGAAGCAAACTTGTGAGCTTATTCATGCTATGGAAGAAGCTCACATAGTATAGGGATGGCTCAGGAATGAAGGCCTGAGTGAGGACTAGAGAGACTTGAGATTAGGGTGTGTGAGGAGGGCAGGAGAGTGAGAAATGTGAAGATTTTTATGGTTCTCAGAGTTACATTGTTACATTATTACATTGTTTGAAAATTACATGCTTTGAGTCTTTGAAATGGTTCTGTTTTTCCACTTGAAGAAAATATACAATAGGTTATTAAAAGTAAAAAATAAAAATGCTTTTAAATGTTCTTATCCCTTTTAAAAAAATTTTAGTAAATTAAATTGTAAGGTGAATATGTGATTCTGCAAACATTCTGGTCCTAAGTAAGCATAATTAATTAATTTTTTTAATGTTTTTCACAAGGAAGTCTGTGCACCATCTGAGTGAATACCTATTGCTCACAGAGGACACCAGAGTTTGAGATCTCTCAGAACTGGAGTACAGACAGTTGTGAATCATCAGGTAGGTGCTGGGTATCAACCCTGGATCCTCTGGAAGACATCCAGTGATATTAAAGAATGAATCCTATCCTCGGACCCTAGTTTATTTGCTGTATTTTTTAAACACTATTTGGGATGTCTTTAGTACTACTTGCATTATATCTGTGGGTAATTTCGACTCTATCAGTTGGGTGGAGGCTTCTTGAATGTCAGTTAGAAAAATGTAAAAATGATCACAGGGACGGGTGGTGTTGGCTCACGCCTTTAATCCCAACACTTGGGAGGCAGAGGCTGGCAGATCTCTGTGAGTTCGAAGCCAGCCTGGTCTACAAGAGCTAGTTCCAGAACAGGAACTAAAAAGCTATGAAGAAACCCTGTCTCGAAAATCCAAAAAAAAAAAAAAAAATGATCACAGGGTGAGGGGCTGTGTATTCCCCTCTCATATCCCCTTCAATGCCCTGTTTTTCTGTCTTATTATGGGACAAGTGGGCATCCTCATGGACAAATATAAATATAGACAAGTTGTTTATCACCGGATACAAAAGTCAACCAAAATTAACAAATGATCTACATAGGACTAGAGAGACATCTCCGAGGTTAAGAGTGCCTTTGGCTATTGCAGAGGACCTGACTTCAGCTTACAGTCCCCATATGGTGGCCCAGAGATACCTATAACTCCAGATCCAGGGGAGCTGACAGTCTTTTCTGGTCTCAGCAAGCATCTGCATTCAAATGTGCATACGGCACACACAAACATATAGGCAGATACCCAGTAAATAGTGAAAGCAAATCTAAAAGGTAATTAATCCAAAATACAACCTAAGCATGAATCTTGTAACAGAAAGCAATTGAAAGAATTATAGACAAAATTCATAGATATAACAAACCCCTTTTATGAAAAGAAGAACTGGACTGTTAGGACTTCCATAAAGTGAAAAATGTACACTGTGATATAAAAGATATTTTCCCTGCCTGGGAAAAAATGAATGTAGGAAATTGTGTATTAGATGACAGCCTTATTGTTTCCAGAATACAGAAAGCCTAAAAAAGAGTCACTAAGAAAATACACAATTCATGAAATAAAAGTTGTCCAGAAGGGTGAGTAGATGCTCCACTAAGCGGAACATACAGCATCAACATCCTTAACACTTAGGGAAGAGAGACAGGTGATTCTAGGGGACTCTTGACACCCCCACAAAATATTCAGAAATAATAATATGAAGACCTGGCAAGGTTGTGGGGGATGAAACTATCATACTGACTGCTGGTAGCCATGGGAAATAGGACAATAACTTGGAAAAATATTTCTCAGTTTCTTGATATGTTAATTGTCATTTGACCAAAGCTGTAACAACTTTCCTGATGGAGCAGAGCTGTTACTTTGAGGAAAGCTTTCCCTGAAGCAGATCTGTAAGCTGCTAAGCTTATACTGACTTTGTGGTATTCCTTGCATCTGGACGGCCAGGATCCCTTTACATTTGAGCTGAAATGTTTACACTACACATATATGTTTTTAATTGTACTCATTGTCTGGCAGAAAGACATCTCCACTCTGCCTTATGGAATCCAGGTCCAGAAAGTACTAGCCAATCACAGTCCAGCCAGAGTCCTCAAAGACTGGTCTGGCTGGTAGACAACCAGAGGCCTGCCCAGAGCTACAAGGCTTCCATTACAATGAGCAAAATGTGTGGTGGAGAAACAGGAGAGAAAGAGTAGCGGGATGGTTCATGTGCTGTGAAAAGAGGGAGAATAGAAGGTGGTAAGGAACAGGCTGAGGGGGTGGTCTTCTTGTCATTCATGGTCATGGGGTCATCAGGACCGAGGTTGCTACCAAAGGTCATTTCTGGGTCTCTGTTCTTATTGCAGCTTGGGTCTATGTTAACATCCATGGTCCACGCTGCCACCAAAGGGCACACAGGAGCCTGGAGTCTGGGCTGTGTCCTCTGGCCTTGTTGGGATCTGAGCGCTGTGTTGCCATTGGAGTGACAATGATCTGAGAGACCCGAGCTGCCAACCTGGGCCATGGTGTTGTCCATGCCTGAGCTGCTGACCAGGGCCATATCTGTGACCCAGCAGTAGCCAGGGTCTTTGTCTTCCTGACTCCTGTTACCAATGAAGGCCATGCGGATGCCTGAGGTGTGGGCCACCACCTGAGGCCACGTTGGTGTCCAAAGGCTTTGCTGCAGCTGGTGCCATCCTGATCTGTGTGGTCTGTGAAACCACCCGGGAAATGGTGACATCAAGGACGAGTTGTTGCCAGGATCATGTTGGGTCTATGGTCCTACCAGAGCTAGGGTATGTGCTGATGTTTGTGGCCCATGTTACTACAGGGGGCCTTAAGAGCCATGAATGATGATATCCAAGGGCCAGAGTGAGCTGGTTCTGCCCTTTGGTGGACATTGTGTCAAGAGCTGGCCCTGACTTTCACAGGAGAGCTAGTCCCACACCTCACCATGGGCATTGGAAAACTGGGCCTGGTGCCATGGGCATAGGTGAGCTGGCTTCGGCCCTATCCTTAGGCAGGCAGCTGATCAGCTCAGCTACCACCCAGGTCCATATTGGGGTTCTTGGCTTGGCCCATCCTAACATCTACACCATCTAAGGCCTACTGGAATGCTGGAATTGACTGGTCCTGGGGAACAATACCTGCAGAATCTCTGTTACGTGGGGTGACTGCAGGATATCCTAGAGGAGTTTTGTTGAGGGTCCCATGATGATAGTGTACCAGAAACTAGAGGCCATGAACAAGTTCAATGACTCATTGCAATGAAAGTTTACAAGTAAATATGTTGGACAAAAAGGTATACTGTGTGACTCACCTTATATGTAGATCGTATTAAAGTGTAATAGAAGCCCGAGTACTGCTTCTGATGACTTCAGTTGGATCCCCAGGACCCACATTGTGGAAGCAGAGAAATGACTCCTGCAAGTTGTCCTCTGACCTCTACAAGTACACTGTAGATCATGTATGGCCTTGCCAGACACACAAAATAGGCAGACAAATAAATGTAAAAAATGTAAATGGACATAACTTACCAAACACAAAACAAAAGCCAAAAATAACCGATGTTCTTATTGCTGACTGAAATAGACTCTAAAATGATTGCTTTTTTCAAGACATATATCTGAAACAAAGGCATTAAAATGTTAACTTGAACACTTAAAAAGAAGTAAACACATACCATCCAGGAACGAATTATTAGAAATCTAGAGTTATAATCTTAACGTTTAAGAAAGAACTAAAACTAAAGTGGAATAAAACAATTTTAAAACATGAAGTAATGTTATGTGTAAAATTCATTAGGAGAATGCAAATCTTTCATACTTATATTTCAGTCACACAGCAAAATATGGATTGAAGGAGAATTACAAGAAAGTATTAAAGCCGATTAATAATTGCAGATGAATGCAAAGTAGTTTTCTCAATGTGACCACAATCATAGGAAAATAATTTATTAAATGAGAGGCCCTGCATAACCTAACCTCAAAGGCATATGCCCTGGGAAGACATATGGAACTCTTAAGTCTGATATAATCTTTTTTGTTGAAAGCATGGATTATTCCGTGATGGGAACTTCATTTGATGTGTAATGCAGTTTCTCCCCCTTTCCTTATCAGCATTTACAGGTTATTATTGACAGTCAGAAACAAATGAGAGAAATGTCCCAGAGACAAGTCCATGGCCATCGTCACAGATATCACACGCAAAAGACATACATAATTTTGTAGCTCTCACTATCCTGTGTGTGGTCAGAGATGAATCTGTTTTAACGTGGTTGTACCCCTTGAGCTCTCAGTAAACACCAGGGAGCTAGGAGAGTGAGAATGAGAGGTGTCGTGTGTGTGTGTGTGTGTGTGTGTGTGTGTGTGTGTGTGTGTGTGTGTGTACAGGTATTCCTTGGCAGAGGCTGGTCTGCAAAGACTGGTTGATTGACTCTTAGACCTGCAGTGATATGGAGATGGTGGAAGTCACAGTCCCAGGGCCTAATTACAATTTCCTTTGTGTTCTCTTGAGCCCATGAGTAGCCACTCCTTGGGCCCCCTGTGCTGGACTTACTTAACACCTTGTCATTAACAGATGACGTTGGACCTGACATTTAAAATATCAGAATATGTCTCCTTATCAAAGCTTTAAGTTTCTACCAGTCAAAGGACTGCTTTTCATCACATAGCAGCTAGTGCCTGTAGCTGAGCTTTCTCTGCTTTACCATAACAGTCTACTTAATATTATCACCCATGTACTTAAGGAGAGTCTATAGTTTCTTCATTCTGTGATTATAAAAACTTCATGAAACTGTTTCCACATTGTAACTTGCAATTTGTACTAACATAAACCTGTCTCACTCATGTTTACTCACATATATTTGACTCCAGAATGAACTCTCTTCTTCCTTCGAGGTGAGAGCTGTATGTTTACATTGACATTTGTTAGTGTGTGTTGTGTATATACTCATGCTTGTGCAAATATGTCCCTGGATATATATGTGTGAAAGTTAGTTAATCACTTACTGCTGTGATAGGTTATGTGTTATAATTCTCCTGGTCCTCTTCAATGATGACCTGGTGTGTAGTACACTGCTTACTAATCTCCATAGTTCTTTACTCATGTGCTGACCGATATCAGTATGGCTCAACACCCATTTTCCCAAACTGTTTTCCTCTATTGCTGTTCTCTATTTCCATGCTCCATTTGTCCCAGTATGGCTAGAGGAATCCTTTTAAGATGGCATCTGTGTTCATCTGGTGCCTCTGGAGAGGAGATGGAAAGTCTAGGAAATCCATCCATTCCAGTGTCAGGGGATTCAAGGTGACCACCACATTCATATTCTCTACAGAGCACCACTCTGTATCCCGTGTGCACTGCCCACTTTACACTCAGGGAGGATGAAGTGAGTTGTGGAGCACTACAGTTGCTACAATCCATAAATGGAACTGCTCTAGTATTGTATCAAGTTTCCAAACACACTGAAAACGCATTGCTATTCCATAAAACATCAGCCCCTTTAAAGAAAATAAATGTAGGCATGTAGTTTGAATGCCACCTCCTGGCCATAATGGGGACTACATCAGTGAGAGTCTTGGGCCCAGTGGCGTCTATGTTTGGGTGGGAGGGAACATTGGCTGTGACCTGGACTTGAAGGGACCTTACCTCTGGAGATAAAGCAGTGTTTTTTCACTTCAGTATATTTTCCTGGTACATAAACCTTGACATCTTAGGTATATCAAATGTAAACCCGAGATTGGAGACCAATCCCAGTCTAAGGCTAACATAAAGCAGCCTCATTAGATAGAGATGGTGGAGCTCTGTGTGCAAACACACACACACACATATGCACACAGGCATGCACAGAGCATGAGAGTAGATTCCATTTGTCCTTCTACTTCATTGCCCAGAAACGGAACACAATGACTACTTCTAAAGTACAGAAGGTATAAACATCGTTTATCCAGTGTGTGGTTGTGTGCCCGTGTGCATATGTGTGTGCTTCTGCAATTGTATGCATACATGCATGTGGTCAGGGGACAGAAGGCAGCCTCCGGTGTTGTACCTCAGGCGCCATCCCCCTGAAGTTTTTCTTAGACAAGGTTTCTCACTGGCCTGGAACACGCAAGGCAGGCTGGGTTGGCTGGGCAGCACACTCCAGGGATAGGCTTGCCTCCACCTTCACACACAAGCAAGTCCCACCACACCTACTACTTTTCCTGCTGTAGTTTAACTTCATTTTCTTGATGATGCTCTCTGTGAATGACACTCAGGGCCTCATGCCCACAAGGCCAGCAATTTATTGATTTAGCTGTCTCCCCAGCCCCACTTTTACCACCCGAGCACAAGCATTTTTCTCAGTTTACACTTTAAAGTACTTTCCTTCCTGGATACGAAATTTGAAACACCACCGGAAAGCACATGTACTACCATAAGGAAATCTGTGTCTGTCGCCGGGCTTATTCCTACCCCTAAGGCACAGGGCTGTCTGCAGGGAAATCTCCAGAGAGTGAGCTATCTGAGTAGAGTCCCAGCCGCCATTTTCTGTGCGCCTTGCTGTATGTGGTGGTGAGGAAGTCACTTCCCCATTTAGGGGATGGTAATCTTTAATGTGTCTGCCAGGGACACACAGGGCTCTGCCTAACATCCAGTGAAAAGAGGATGGTTTCCCATGACAGAACTAAGCTGAAACTTTCCCACAGTGAATGGAATGATAATAGTCCTGCTAACTATTTTGTGTGTTTAGTGCAGAGTCTCAGAGCAGCCCAGCCCAGCCTGGGACTCTTCCCCTTCCTCCCTCAGCCTTCAGAGTGCTGCTGGTCCTCCCAGCTTACCACACTGCCCCAGCTCAAGTATTCATTTTAATGTAAACACATTCTTAATGCTACTGTTTTCTTCTCGGCCCAGTAACATTTTCATTCCATTTCTACATGTATATGGTTGAATTCCCACGAAATAAGTAATTTTATCATTGATTTCCCTGCAAAAATTTATTTTATAATGATCCACATCTCTTGAAAAACCATGTACTCTAAGATTGTTTTCCTAAGAAATTTCACATTTTCTGAGATATTTCTGGTTTTTGTTTGGTTTTCATTTTGAGGCAGGGCCTCTCTGTGCTATTAAGGCTGTTCTGAAACTTCTTAGCAGTAATGATCGTGTAACCCCAGTGTTCAAATAGCTGAAAGTGCACGCATTTGCCACCTAACGCTGATGAAAACTGTTCGCAGTACTGCCTGGCATTTGACCATTTTTCTTCATTGTTTCACAACAATTATTTTAATTTGTACATAATTTTAAAATATACATAACTTAATAATAATTACGTTGTGTATATTCCTATGTGTATGTACACATGAATTCCGGCGCCTCCAAATGTCAGGAGAGGTCATACCTTCCTGGAGCTGAGGTATGGTCCTTCAAGGATGTTGGAAATGGATGCTGGAAACTACCTTGGATCCTCAGCAACAATAGAATGCACTCTGAACCACTGAGTCATCTCCCCTGCCAGACTGTAGACTGTTAGATTCCGTTAGCCTTTATAATGTTCATATTTTAAATTCCACTGTGTTTTCCCCTTGGTCAATGACCTGGAGTTGATGCTTCTTTTTTTTTCTTGTTTAGATTTTAGTTATACTTTTAATTATGTCTGTCTGTCTGTCTGTGGTATGCACATGATTGGCAGAGGCATTGACTCCTGATGGGGCTAGAGTTAAAGGCAGTTGTGAGCTATCTGCCATGGGGGCTGGGAGCCATACTCTCATAAACAGTAATGACTCTCTTGTCTCTTTCCTCCTCCCTCTACGCCTTGAGTGCTGGTATTACAGGTGAGGGTGAACATGCCCAGAGGGTCAAAGAACACAGAGCAATTTCCATTCTAGGCAATCATTCTGCCACGAGAGCTATGTCGCCAGTCCCCATACTGTGGCTTTTTAAATTCACCAGTGATTTCTTTTCATGGTATAGCATTCTCATTGAACAGCTACCAGAGAAATCAAGAATATAGCTGGGAATGTGTGCACAGCCAGGGGAGCAATAGCAGTGTCTAGGGACCACTTTTAAAAATCCCCAAATGTGCTCCCACCACATTTGTGAAGAGCTTGGGACAGGGCCGTCAGATGCTGGGCAGATCTAAGTGCTGTAGCATCCTCGAGTCCAGCCTCTGGCAAGGACATCCTGTTCCCGAGAGCAAGTCTCCTGCCAGCAAACCTACCTTACATGCCCAGCTTCCCAAAGGTCAGCAACAAGGGACTAGAGGCTGTTGTTGTACTGTCTGTGGATGTGTGTGCACAGCCAATGACCCAGACCCTGCAGAAGAATCACAAAACAGGAAAAAGGTTGGTCAAAGAATCAGACACATCCTTAAGCTCAGTGCTGAAGACATAAAAAAAGAAAATTTGGAAATATAGCATAGTGTGTGGAAATAGAAATGACGGAGAAAGAAGAACAGGATTTCCCTTGCACGGAGATGTGAGTGTATGTGTCCTGATGTGGGGCTGTGCCTCCCTAGGAGTATGGGGACAATGATGAAGGGATCCCAGAGATATCTGAGAAGCCGGATTCTGCGTTTGGATGTCTGTACAGCAATGGTTCTCAGCCTTCCTATGCTGTGACGTGACTCTTAATACAGTCCCTCATGCGTGGTGATCCCAACCAGAAAATTATTTCTGTTGCTTCATCATCGCTGTAAAGTTGTTACAGGTAAGAATCACAATGGAAATAGTTTTGGAGATAGACGTTTGCTGAAGGGGTCAAGTCACAGGTTGAACCACTTTTCTAGAGTCAGAGAGATGTGGGACCTTCCTAGCCCCAGCAACTTTGGTTCCCTGAGCCAGGATGTCCTGGACCCATTCTCCAAACACAGGCTGGGAATTTCTGTGAGGAGAAAACAGAGTGAGACCCTCTGCTCTGAGCTGTGCTTCCCACTCTGTGAATTGAGAGCATCACACTGCTCATGTGCTAATTTGGGGGTCTTTAGTGATAATACCTGCTTTAAATACCAGTCACAAGTTCCTGCATATGTGACAGACTAATGTTGATATATGCAATTGGAATTACAGGCTGGCCTTGAACTCAGACATCCAACTGCCTCTGTCTTGTGAATGTTTGCTCCATTCCCTGCTGTCAAAAATAAGCATTTCTAAAGGCAGTCTTCTTCTGGAGAAATAGGGACAAACAGTTGCTGCAGAATTTAGAGACTGATTTCACTTCAACTCTGCCTAAAACCTACTCACTTCCTTCATCTGTAAACCTGCCAAGAGCAGTACATGCTGTAGAACAGCCATTTTCAAAAATACACTGAATTTTGGGTTCACTTTTTAAGAGACAAATGTTAGATTCTTATTCTGTTGGAAATTATGCTACAGTTAGCTGTACTTAGAAAACTTTACATCTGAAAATTATTCATCAGCAACTCGTTATCAAATTGTTAAGTTTTACAATGACTAGTTTGGGTATTCAAACTATCCTGTGTCAATACACGTGGAATAACTGATGTCAGTAAATGGAAGCACCGTGTCTCCATGTGGTCAGACAAATCCAGAGATGTTAGAGCAATGTCTCCACAAGGAAAATGCACAGCGCATCCAGGTGCTATCTGCCCTCTCCCAGACAAGGCTGCACAGGGCAGCTCTCCTGCTGATCACTGCAGCATGGCTTCATCCCTCTTTCATACCTCCATCCCTCCCCTGTCTTCGGAACCATCTCCACTGTCTCCACACAATCCCTCATTCCGCCCTCCCCAGGCCTTTCTCTGTTCAGTGCCAAGTCACCTTCTACCAAAAGGAAACATATCATGACAATTCCATAACTCACCTTCCACACAGATCATATAATCCAAATGTCATACACAGCTGACAATGACAACATTTTCCTTTCTGTCCTATCCCCAAGCAGTGTCCACGTTGTCTTCAAGGTTCTGGCAACTAGCCTTGTTCTCTGCTCTTAGATCCACTGTTCTCCATGGAAGCAAGCACGCCCACAACTTGGTTTGTGCACGGTCTTGCTTCTATTTGCCATTCAGGACTCAGATCACATGCTAACTTCTGAAACCTTTGGGGGTAACATCACATACGACAATCCCCATCACAACTATTTCCTGTCCCCTTTATGATCTTTAAAGCGCCAATAATACACGGAATTGCTGTGATTACTGATTTCTTCTGCTTACTGACAGTTTGCCTATCTAACACGATATACAAGGACCCGTGCTAGTCTTCACAGTGCAGGAACAAGGTGTTCACTAAAGAGGCCACTATGTGAATATCTGGATAAATGTACACGAAGGAATTGATTTGTCTATTTGATATGGCATGCAACACACAGGTATTTAAGTCAGTAACAAGAGAACATGGCATGCACTTAAGCAGTCTGTGACTTCATATCCTGGAAGACAGAATATCAAACACACTAGCAATACGTTTTAACATGGACAGCCATCAGAAAGAAGTGGCTATGCCACACTCACTTCCTAGGGTTTGAATCAGTGTCTGCTGTGGACCCAGATATCTACCATTTTAATAAGCATGATTCAGTGTCTGTTGAGGATCCAGATTTCTACCATCTTAATAAGCAATCCCTCCAAATGTGATGCAGTCATGCATGGCCCATTCGGGGAAATGGTCTGATGGGGATTGCTTCCATTTCAGTCCTGGTCATTTAAAGGGACCCCTACAGGGTTCAGTCATCTGGGGAGTCTATGAATGCCATTGTTTCACAGTGTGCTCCTCTTTGCTGCGACCTGCTCAACAGGATGTGTTCCTACAAGGCATTACAGACCAGCTGCTGGTCACACAGATGGGAAGAGAAAAGGAAATGACTCACCTGGTGAGTCCCACATGATCTTGTCACTCTACTGTACTGAATATATGGATGGAGTAGTCTGTCTGCATCCAGTCAAGTCAAAGATGTGCAGTGACATCTTCCTCTTCTTTGTTCATTTCACAGACCCTTTATACACACCCATGTACACATCACACACACACACACACACACACACACACACACACACACACTCACATTGGTGGCAATGATGACTCACATACTGGAAACAAGGGCTCATGTCAGCTTCTTGTCAACATTCTGCGTGTTCTCTCTGCAATCCTGCTGTTCTTCTCATAGAAGAGACCTGACATTGATAGGCAGAGGACACAAAGTATCACTGACAAGAAGCATTTGCTTTTGGCTTTCTTCCCTGGGGTGGTCAGATAATCCAGAATTCTAGACAGATAACAAATGAAGAGCAGGTCCACTTGAATGTACTCCCACGGGCATGTTATGGGATAATTTAAGCATCACAGTATATAATGATGACAAAGGAGTACTCCTTTAAGAAATGGGTGTTTCTGAGTAGACACAAACGCATGAGTAAATCCATTAATAAACAAAACATAAAAGAGAAACATTACTCAAAGACAAGCAATTCTTGTATACTAGTAACTGCACAGGGAAGTAGGCATCAGAGCAACACTTAGCAGGCGTCATGGTTATAATAAACATGGAAAGAACCATACATAAAACACCCCTCTGTACAAGTCCACAGCAACACTGCTAAAATCTGCATGACTGGATGGGAAAACAAGAGGGAAAACACACGGGTACTAACCTTTTCCTTTTTGTGTTGGGGAGAATAATATTAGATATTTTGAAAATAATTACCTAAGTATTCTTCATAATACAAACCTTTCTGGAGTTACACATACATACCTAACTCTTCACATGTATCCCCTTCTTTCTCTCCACCGTGATCTCAGCACCTCCCTGATGGAGCTAGCTGGGAGGTAAAGGACTATCTCTATGATTCCAAAGATGCCATTGGGGCAAACCTTTGACCTGTGGCTGCCTTAGAAATTTTCCCCCAAACTGGGTGTTGGACATTTGTTTCTGTTCTCATAATTCACTTGCAACTTCAAAGTACTGAATTTTAAACACAGCAAATATATGTTAGCATCAAAGACATTTTCATCATAGAGAATGTAATTAAATATTTTAACCTAAAAGATTCATCAATAACTCTGTCTAAATTTAACACAGACAGCTGACCACAGTGAAATGAATGTGTGGAAGCTGTAATTTAAAATCCCTGTCACTGGAGATAGCATCAGGAAATATGAAATAATTAGGAAAACTCTGCCCACTTCTCTGTAGTGCCTAGACACTGAATGGGACAACTCATTGCTGAGAGTAAAGATGTATAGATTCATCGACTGTGGCGATATTTTGTTTCTTCCATGACAATAAAGCTTGCCTGAGAATCAGTGTGTGCAGATAGCCACTAGTTAGCCACAGAAGACAGGCAGTGTTGGAACTCACCTTTCCCAACACTTAAGAAACAGAACTCTGTGAGTTCAAGGCCATCCTGGGCTACATTAGATTGATCCAGTCTAAAAGAGAAACAGAGTCAGGCAGTGGTGACTCACATCTTTCATCAAAGTGCTTTGGTGTCACACACCTTTAATCCCAGCACGAGGGAGATGGAGAATGAAAGGAATGTGGCTGGGAAAAGAGAGGAATATAAGGTGGGAGGAGATAGGAGATCCAGGCAGTCAGTCTGAGGTCTTGTAGAGACAGGATGCTCCATTTGGTCTGAGGATTTTGTCGAGGAAAGAACTAGTGTCTGGCTGCTCTGCTGTTCTGATCTTATAGCTCCAACCACTTAATATCTGACTCCAGATTTTATTATTAAGACCAATTAGAACTCACGCTACAATCATCTTCATGTGATGGAATATACAGGTGTCTGTTCTCCTCATACAGTCCTATAGATCCAGTGCAATACCAACAGAACTCTAACAGACTTTTCATAAACTAATGGGCTTATCCTGAAAATCACAGTGAATATGGAGAACCCCAGCTTGAAACAACCTTATAAAGGAACAAACTCGGAGGATGAACACCTGACTTCCAAACTCCTTATAAACCTAGGGAAATGTAGACAGTGTGCCTGATTGGAAATGACAATAAGACAGAAAAGAATATGAAGGGGACAGAAGAGTCACACATGTGTGAGGGGACACCTTTAGCAAAGACTCAAAGACACTTCAGTGAAGCAGACATTTGGCTTCACGGAGTTTTTCTGGGACTCCCCATAAGTGGTAGGGAGGTACAGCCCAGCACAGTGACCAGCAGCCTGAGGATAACCCTGTCGCTTTGATGACCTTGACCCTGGTAAAGATGAATCTAGGATGCAGTAAAGAATTTCAGAAACAGCCAGGATGAAGCAAAGGTTGTGAGCTTATTAATCCTGTGGATAGAAGCTCACACAGAATAAGGATGGCTCCTGCATGATGGCCTGAGAGTGGACTGGAGAGAGACTTGAGATTAGGTGTCATTGCAAAGGGTATGTGAGGTGGGCAGGGAGGGAGGTACAGTGGGAGAGGGAGAAATGGGAGGATTTTTATGGCTCTAAAGTTACATTGCTGAAAGAATGTAATTCAGAAAATTTCAAGATTAAATTACATTAAAGCCTATATTCAGGTTTTTAAATTAACTATAAGAATATTTTTACTCTTTAAATGGGTTCTATTTTTCCATTAGGAAAAAATATTCAATAGGTTATTAAAAAGTAAAAAATGAAAATAAAAAGCAATGCTTTTAAATGTGCTTATTCCTTTTAAAGTTTCTTTCAGTAAATTAAATTGTAAGGTGATTATGTGACTTAGGCGAGAGAATAGAGTGCTATCATCATCCATCTCAAGGCTACAAGTATTCTGCCCATAAGTAAGCATAACTGCGTTTTTTATTTTCTGCTTTTGAATGCTTCTCCACAGGGAAGTCTGTGCACCACGTGAGTACCTAATAATGCCCACAGAGGGTGCCAGACTTTATGAGATCTCTCGGAACTGGAGTTACAGACAGTTGTGAACCATCGGGTAGGTGTTGGGTATCAACCCTGGATCCTCTGGAAGACATCCAGTGATATTAAAGAATGAACCCTATCTTCAGACTCTAGTTTATTTGTTGTTATTTTTAAACATTATTTGGGATGTCTTTAGGAATAGTTGCATCATATCTGCAGGTAATTTTGGCTCTATCAGTTGGCTTGAGGTTTCTTGAATGTCAGAAAAATGTAAAAATGATTACAGGGTGAGGGGCTGTGTGTTCCCTCTCATATCCCCTTCAATGCCCTGTCTTTCTGTCTTATTTTGGGACAAGCAGACCTCCCCATGCACAAATATAAATATAGACAATCGTATATCGCAGGATACAAAAGTCAATCGAGAATGAACAAATGATCTACAGAGGACTAGAGAGACATCTCAAAAGTTAAGAGTGCCTTTTGCTATTGCAGAGGACCTGACTTCAGTTTCCAGCACACATATGGTGGGTGACAGATGTCTGTAACTCCAGATCCAGGGGAACTGACAGTCTCTTCTAGTCTCAGTGGGCATCTGCACTCAAACGTGTATTTGGCACACACAGACATACAGGCAGACCCTCAGTAAATAGGGAAAATAAACCTAAAAGAAGTCCAAATTACAACCTAAACATGAATCTTGTAGCAGAATACAATTGGATGTTCAGGTTCATGAATTACAAACAAACTTCTTAGATATGGCAAACCCCCTTTCATTAAATGAAGAACTGGAGTGTTACGAATTCCATAAAGTGAGAAAATATCTATTCTTCCAAATATATGATAGAAACATATTTTTCTTACCTGGGAAAATGAATGTGGGAAATTGTATATCAGATGACAGTCTTCTTGTATCCAGAATACAGAAAGCTTCTAAAGGAGACACTAAGAAAATAGACAATTCAGGAAATAAAACTTGACCAGAAGGGTGAGTAGATGCTCCACTCAGAGAAACATACAGCAGCAACATCCTTAACACTTAGGGAAGAGAGACAGGTTGTAGTAATAAGGGCGGCGGGGCTGCATCCCCGGCACCCGGCCGCCCCCACGGCTAGCTTTACCCAAAATAATTACACGGAAACTGTATTCATTTAAACACTGCTTGGCCCTTTAGTCCTAGACCTTACTGGCTAATTCTGTTATCCCGATCAACCCATCTCTAATAATCTGTGAGCACCGGTCTTACCTGGAAGATTCTAGGTCGGAGCTTCATCTCGTGTGTCTGCCCAGGAGCGGGGCATGGCGTCTCTCTGAGGCTTCTGCCCCCGAGAGGAGAGCTGTGGAGTCTGAGCTCACTTCCTCTTCCTCCCAGCGTTCTGTTCTGTTTACTCCTCCCACCTATCTTCTATCCAATAAAATGGGCCAAGGCAGTTCCTTTATTAGCCAATGACCTTCCTCCATCAACAGGTGACTCTGAGGGGACTCTAGACAACCCCATAAAATACTCAGAAATAAAGACTTGTCATACAAAGACCTGGCAAGTTTGTGGAGGATGACTCTCCCATACCCACTGCTGGTGGCCATGGAAAACAGGATGATAACTTGGAAAAATCTTTTTCTGTTTCTTCATATGTTAATTGTCATCTGGCCATCACAACCCAAATATATAACCTGGAGAAAGAGGACATATTTTCTTTTAAAGACTTATTTATTTCAGTTCACAACAGCTTTATATACAAGACACTGAAATTGAAAACAACCTCAGCAACAGGCAACAGGCAAAGACTCATTTCCCAAAACCAGCATGGCAGTTTTCAACTGTTAACTCCAGTGCCAAGGGATTCATTGTCCTCTCTTGGCTTCCATGGGCAACAGGCATGCATGCGCTCTTCATACCTATATGTAGGCAAGCATATATACACATGAAATAAACTAAATTATAAAACTTGCCGTGTAGCTATACAATGCTACACTATTTAGTATTAAGAATGAACAATTATCATGGGAAACAAAAGAGATAAATTTAAACATATATTCAAGATGAATGAAGGCCAGATGTCTCTAAACTCTGGTTCTATCCTAATACATTCCAGCATATATAAATTTGTCTATAATATCAGATTGTTGTATTTTTCTGCAGACAGGGTTGGGCAGTGGTTGGGTATGAGAACCTAAGTAACATAAAGAAACTTTATGGATTGGTAAATAATAATGAAACTTATACCTACTTGAGTATAAGAAGATGTCTATTGTCATTATGGGGAAAAGTGGAAAAATACAAATTACGTTTTATATTTGGTGACTTGGACTTCAGAGATTGCCCCATGGTTAACAGGACTTGCTGTTCTTACAGAAGACCTGGGCTGGGTTCTCAGCACTCACTTGCTGGCCCACAATGGACTGCATATCTGTTTCTAGGAGAAACAACACCCCTTTCTGTCCAAAGCAGCACACCCTGATCCTGAAACCAGAGCAAAAGAAACATACACTGACCCTGAGACTAGAATCAATTCACTGGCCCTGAAACCAGAGCCCAACGTTTTAAAAAGGCCAGTGAAATAAACACACTTTGCCCCTGAAACCAAAGCCACAGAAACACACTCTTCCACTTACCAATTCAGCGAAACAAACTAACCAATCTCTCAGCATAAAAGGAACCAATCCCAGAGCAGGAAAACAAGCTAATGACTGAGCATGAAACCACCCTGTACCTGTTCAGTTGGGAGCTGCCTTTCCCACTCTTGCAGGGTCAGCCACCTCCTGGACTCTTCCCTCCTAGTGAATCTCTTGAATGAGGCTTGGGTAAGACCCTCTTTGTCTAAGAAGAACAGAGAAGCAATGACTTCAACTGGGGTCAACTGGAGCAGAGGGGAGCAGAACTGGAAAAGTTTCTCTTAGCAGAGCAGAGTTGTTACTCTTCTGAGGATCTAAGGAGAGCTGTAACAACATGGCTGGGGTAACCCTCCCCTACCAGAGCAGAGCTGTTAATTTGGGGCAAACTTTCCCTGAAGCAGGGCTGTGAGCTCCTAAGCGTAAGGTGAATTTGTGATATTAATTGATGCCATCTTAAATGGATTCCTCTAGCCAATACTGGGACAAATGGAGCATGGAAATAGAGAACGGCAATAGATGAAAACAGTTTAGGAAAATGGGTGTTGAGCCATACTGATATAAGTCAGCACATGAGTAAAGAAATATGGAGATAAGTAAGCAGTGTACTACACACCAGGTCATCATTGAAGAGGACCAGGAGAATTATAACACATAACCTATCACAGCAGTAAGTGATTAACTTTCACAATATATATCCAGGGACATATTTGCACAAGCATGAGTATATACACAATACACACTAACAATATTCAATGTAAACACACAGCTCTCACCTCGAAGGAAGAAGTGAGTTCATTCTGGAATCAAATATCTGTGAATAAACATGATTGAGACAGGTTTATGTTAGTACAAATTGCATGTTACAATGTGGAAACAGTTTCATGAAGTTTTTATAACAGAATGAAGAAACTATAGACTCTCCTTCAGTGCATTGGAGATAATATTAAGTAGACTATTATGGTAAAGCAGAGAAACCTCAGCTACTAGCTGCTATGTGATGACACACAGTACTTTGACTCGCAGAAGCTTAGAGCTTTGTTAAGGAGACATATTCTGATATTTTAAATGTCAGGTCCAACGTCATCTGTTAGTGACAAGGTGTTAAGTAAGTCCAGCACAGGGGGCCCAAGGAGTGGCTACTCATGGGCTCAAGAGAACACAAAGGAAATTGTAATTAGGCCCTGGGACTGTGACTTCCACCATCTCCATATCACTGCAGGTCTAAGAGTCAATCAACCAGGCTTTGCAGACCAGCCTCTGCCAAGGAATTTCTGTACACACACACACACACACACACACACACGACACCTCTCATTCTCACTCTCCTAGATTCCTGGTATTTACTGAGAGCTCAAGGGGTACAATCACGTTACAACAGATTCATCTCTGACCACACACAGGATGGTGAGAGCTACTAAATTATGTGGTCTGAATGAGATTCCTGTGACGATGGCCATGGACTTGTCTCTGGGACATTTCTCTCATTTCTTTCCGACTGTCAATAATAACCTGTAAATGCCGATAAGAAAATAGCGACAAACTGCATTACACATCAAATAACGTTTTCATCATGGGATAATCCATGCTTTCAATAAAAAATATCCTTTGTAAGTTTCATTGACACTTGTTTCCTGACAGTTTACAGAAGATTTAATAATTTGTTCACACAAAAAACAATACGTATCTATTTGTTTAAAAAATAATAGCAGTTATAGATGAATCAAAAAGTACAAATATTTGTGCATTATCCCGACAGATAGATCCATAGTGCTGATAGGCCGAGAGATTTCCAAACATTGCTGAATTGGAGACAACCTGTCTTAATGAAGGACAACTATGTTCACAGCTCAAACAATTCATTATTAGTAAGATGTCTGTTGATTCAAAACTGAGCTACAGATTCGATGCACTAACAATAAAATAGCACTTACTCTTTTTAAAAATTCTCGAAAAACCAAAAAAAAAAAAAAATTGAGTGGAAGCCGGGCGGTGGTGGCACACGCCTTTAATCCCAGCACTCGGGAGGCAGAGGCAGGCGGATCTCTGTGAGTTCGAGACCAGCCTGGTCTACAAGAGCTAGTTCCAGGACAGGCTCCAAAACCACAGAGAAACCCTGTCTCGAAAAACCAAAAAAATATAAATAAATAAATAAATATAAAAATTGAGTGGATAACTCTAAACATTTTAGACTAAATATATAGCTTGTGTAAACCTTAGAAACAGACAAATGTTAGAGAACAGCATTGCCTGATAGGAGACCTCTGTTTGAACCTACAGTAATTGGACCAGCATGCTATTGAATCAAAGTTGGCAAGAAAAAGTCCAAAACCAACATTCCACGCTCACATCCACACATTTACAGACCACTGCCTATATCGAGTCAACATTTTTCCTGTGTCTGATGCTGGCATCAAGCTTGTGTGTAGTGCGTGTAGTGTGTGCTGAGAAGAACTGACCATACTCCTGCTGCAGCCTCCCAGGCACTGGGATTACTGGCATATGTACCATGATTGGATAATTGGAGAACTGATGTTTCACAAATAAACAAGGCAATTTGATGCATAAAGATGGCCTTTCAGGAAGCAATACTGAGGCAAGTGTATATCCAAACCCACAAATATAAACTAGGACCTACATCGTATCATATGTGAAGACCATTCAAAATAAATTACAGATGTAAAAATATAAAAATCAGCCTATAAATGTCAAACAGAACACAAGAAGAAAATCCCTGTCACTGGGTGCCAGGCAAAGATTTCGCAGACAAGACACCGAATAAAAACCGTAATTGAAGAACTAGAGAAGGTGGGATCTTACAATTTAAAATCTCCTGTTCTTCCAAAGACATGGATGAGAATTGAGATGATAAGTCTGAGGCTAGGAGAAAAGTTAGAAATACATATATCTGATAAAACATTTCTAACATTTCTATGAAACATACGGAAAACCTCAAATGTCAGCGAGCAATCTCACGCACAGAGTGGGAAGTCGGGATCACAGAGTGCTCATTTGGCCTCATTTCCCTCCTGCTCACTCTCCGACAACTCCCCTCCTGGACAATGGCTCCAGCACAGCCCTGTACAGAACAGCACAGGAGGAGGCAGAATGGTCCCAAGTCTCTCTCCTTCCGGAGAAACACAGGCTGCAAACCCCGAGGTAGGAGTGGTCCTACTTGGGTCTGGAATCCCTGCATCTGCCTCCAAACCCTCAGAAAGATTCTGGTGCTCCCCTCCGGGAATCCATAAGCTCAACTCAGTCCAAACACCAGGAACTGAATGCTCCTTTCCAGGACATCGTCCGGTCGCCATTTGAAAAGAGTCGCCATAATGACCCCGGTTTCTATGACAACCGCAATGCTGCCTCCCCCTTAGTAACCAGGAATGGCTCCGCCCAGCCCTCCCTTACTTCCTCTCAAAGGAAGAACTCTTCACCCTTATTTTCACCCAAGAAAGCATACCCATTAGAGAAACTGTCCCCACTACGAATGCAGAGCTTTTCTTTTTTTTCCGCTCTGTGAACAAAGCATATCCCTAAAAGCCCGACCACATTGTACTCACCAGACCATGGTGGTATCTATGGAAATGTCGTCACAAAGATGAACATTGCTGTCACGGTGACAAATGAGCAATTTTATCCAATAATTAGCTATGCATATATAACCTCATCACGGGACTTTAAATTCTGGGACACCTTGCACATCAACATGCTGAAAAAAGAAAATCAAAGGTTAAAAGTATTGTTTTGGAGATGCCAGGGCTCGAACCCGGGGCCTCATATATGCGAAACATGTGCTCTACCTCTGAGCTACATCCCCACACCTGATAACAGCTTCATCAAAGCCCTTGTGAAGTCAGAGGAACCGAGCCAATGTTCAGAGTCTCTGCAAGGGTCTGCATCAGGTCCTTTGAGCATACTGGATTCCAGGTTGAGTTTAGTGCTTTGATAGGATTCTTGGGACATTTGTTGCATGAGAAAACAATCTATTTTCAATCAAAGGAAAAATAATAACAATAAAAATAATAACAACAACAATTATAAGAGCAAACCTTATGCTCTTTGAAGCATGGTAAGCTAACAATGAATGATACTTTGAATTACTCAGTCCCATCAATTTTACTTCAACTTTACTTGCAGGTGGTTCAACATGCCAGTATCATGGGGAATTAATAATAATATGTTGCTGATATGCGGTCATATTTGAGAGTATGAGTAGCTTCCTGAACCCCTCTCTAGCATACCTCCTTTCTCTTTTAAAAGACGCCTTAGTTTCCGGGCTTGAAAGGCAGTTTTTATAATCTTGGTCAGGCCGCTCATTTTGTTTCTTAACTTTGCCAATACTGTCCATCACTCCATTTATGGCAATAACTAAATGTGCGGTAGCTATTGGTTCACAAAACCCTAAGGTGCTGTCACTTTCTGCATGTTTATGTATCTCACCGCATGCTTTGTAAGTTTCAAAAATGAGAGGTTTTCTGAAATATGTCCTCTTTTCATACATCACCTAGTATATGTCTCAATATACAAAATCATTAAATAAATATTTCATGTATGTTCAGATGAGTTAGAAAAGTGAGTATTTTTAAAAAGAAAACAATCTATTTTTTTCATTTACATACCATCCAAGTTTCTATTCCCTCTCCTCAGCCCATTCCCTCTTCTTACCCGTCCCCCCAACCTTCATCTACTCCTCAGAGAAGGTAAGGCACATTGCCCAGAGGAATTAATACCTGGGGCTTTAATTTAATTCATTGGTTCATGTGTCTGCTTTTATGCCAATACCAAACTGTTTTTATCACTACAGCGCTATGGTGAAGTTTTAATTCAGGGATGGTGATGCCTCTGGAAGTTCCTTTATTGTACAGGATTGTTTTAACTATTGTAATTTTTTTTTCACATGAAGTTGAATATTGTTCTATTAGTCTGTGAGCAATTGTGTTTGGATTTTGATGGGCATTTCTTTGAATCTCTAGAATGTTTTTGGTAAGATTGCCATTTATATTATGTTGGTCCTACCTATGCAAGAGCATCCATGAGCGTGGGAGATCTTTCCATTTTCTGATATCTTCTTCAGTTTCTTTCTTTAGAGACTTAAAGTTCTTGTCATATAGGTGTTTCAGTTGCTTAGTTATAGCTACCCCAAGATAATATATATTTGTGGCTCTTGCAAAAAGGGATGTTTCTCTGAGTTCTTTCTCTTTATTTTATCATTTGTATATAGGAGGGCTACTGATTGTTTTGTGTTGATCTTTTATCCTGCCACATTACTGAAGGTGTTTATCTGCTGTAGGAGTTCTCTGGTAGAGTTTTTGTGGTCACTTATATGTACTATCATATCATCTGGAAATAATGAAAGTTTGACTTTTCTTCCTTTCCAATTTGTATCCCTTGATCTCCTTTTGTTGTCTTATTGCTCTAGCTAGGTCAACTAATACTATATTGAAAAGATATGGAGAGAGTGGACATCCTTGTATTCTTCGTAATTTTAGTGGAATCACTTTGAGTTTCTCTCCGTGTAATTTGATGCTGGCTGTTGGCTTGCTGTAAATTGTTTTTATTGTGTTTAGATAGGTTCCTTGTATCCTGATCTCTTCAATACTTGTACTCCAGATGGGACTCAAACTACCTCATATTCCACATATAGCACTTGGGGCATATACCCCAAGGACACTTCAACATCCCAGAAGGTCACTAGCTATTCCATGTTCATTTCCACTCTATTCCCAATAGCCCAAAATTAGAAACAACCTAGATGTCTCACAATATAATAATGGATAAAGAAAATGCTGTACACTTATATAATAGAGTATTATTCTTATTTCAGAAAAAAAGACATCATGATATTTGCAGGTTAAATGATGGAACTAAAAAAAAAAATTCTGAGTGAGGTAACCCAGACTCAGAAAGACAAACATAGTATGCACTCACTTCTAAGTGTATATTAGATGTAAAGCAAAGGGTAACCAGGCCGAGATCCAGAGCTCCAGAGAAGCTAGGTAACAAGGAAGCCCCAAGGAGGGATGCATGGATCGCCCTGGGAAGGGGAATTAGATGAAATCCCCTGGGTAAACTGGGGGTGAGGAGGTGATGAAGGAGAGGCAATGGGGAAGGAGAACATGAGGGAACAGGATGGTCATAGAGAATGAAGTGGGAAAGCAATGTAAGAGGGAACTTGATAGAGAGAGTCACTATGGTTTTAGGGAGAAACCTGGTGCTAGAGAAATTCCCATGAATCCACAAGGATGAGCCCAGCTAAGATTCCTAGCAGTAGTGGAGAGGGTTCCTGAACCGGCCTTCCCCTATTATCAGATTGGTGACTACCCCAACTATCATTATAGAGGCTTCTCCAGTAATTGATGGACTCAGATGGGCCTTCTGTATGTGGAGAGACAGTTGTGAAGTTTGGACTATCTGAGGGGGCCCCCAGCAGTGGGATCAGGATCTATCCTTGGTGCTCAGCCTTGTTTGTTGGTGCCCATTCTCTGTGTTGAGATGTGATGCTATCCTTAATGCAGGGAAGAGGGACTTGGTACTGCCCCAAATTAATGTGTCCTTACCCCTCGGGAGGAGTAGAGAAGGTGTGGGCTGCTGTGGGGAGGCATGGGGAGTGTGAGCAGAGGGAGAACTGTGGTTGGAATGTAAAATGAAATTTAAAAAACAAATTGATCAATTTAAAAAACAATTGAACCCACTCCCCAAATCCTCTTAGCCAAGACTGGTGGTTCATGCCTACAATCTCAGCACTTAGCACGTGGAGAAAATAGAATGCAAGATACAATAATAAACATTATTCTTTATTTTTGTTTTATTATATTTTATTTTGTTGTGGTTTGTTGTTATATCTTAGAAGCCTTTTTTTTTTTTAAATGAGAGACAGAAAGGAAGTGGACCTGGATGAAAGAGACTGGGTGGAGCTGGGAGGAGTAGAGAAAGGGAGTCAGGAGAAATTGTATTCAGATTATAGTGAACTTGAAAAGAATCTGTTTTCAATAAGGTGGGTGGAGAAAAGTTTTAAAAAGAGAAGATCATTGTAGGACTTCAAATTAGAGGAAACTTATTTAAGTTTCTGTGCCAAATGATAAAGTGCATATAAATATATATCTATATCTCATGCAACATGTGGAATATATCATACCTGAAAATACGGTTGCTATTTATCTGACAGTGCTGGTGAACAGGGTGCATCTCACTGTGCACTTCTAATTTCTAGGTTTCATGCTGAATGTGAAGAGACAAAGAGAAGACAGATATGTGTAGCTGAGTCCCAAACTTTGCCTCATCCATACCCTCCTGATCCCATACAAGCATGAACAGAGGCAGAACCTTTCCCTGCCCCTCTAACAACAGCCAAGGCAATGAACAGAGGCTGCTTTGTAATAAGGCATTTACTTTTGATGCTTTCCTCCCTTTAGCAGGGCAGGGTTCTGGGAAGATAGCAAAGGAGGGGAAAGAGGAGAAGGGGGAAGGGAGGGAGAAAGAGAGAGAAGGGGTGTGGAGAGGGAGACAATGGGAAGAGTCAGGCTTCCAGCTAGAGTCAATTTACCACACCAAACAGCCTGGGAACCCTTTGGGACTAAGAGGTTATCTGGGTTGTTGGTGCATATTTTGAGTGTATTCACTCTTGATTTTAGCTCCATTGTAGCCAGGCCTACATTTTCCTCTAGCTTCATGTGCAGAGATTTCCAGGGCCAGTCCTTTTCCATTAGCTGAACTCAGTTTGCCCATCTGTATACTGGGACTCTGCCTTCTAATCTTGGCTCTCAGTGCCCTTTTCAGCAGGCTATGCTTTTGTTTATGAGTAGGTTATTCTTCTACCCCGCTCACGCTAGATATGGGCCATGTTGTATCTGCTCCTGGACTCTGCCCCATGGTTCTTTTGTGAGGCCCTCCATTTGCGCTCCTTAGACTGGGGAGGGGAGTCCCTGCTAAGTCTTTAGTCTTACTAAGTGCCTGTTGTATGCCAGGTGCTGTCTTCCATGTTACCAACTCCTCTTGGCCACACTTGTTATAGATCTGCTTGGATTAAATGCCCCTTCTCCACCGAGTTTTCTGTGGCAGGAGTGGCACCTTTCTCTTGGTGTTCTTTCTCCTCTACCTAACCTCAACAGAGCAATGTGCTGCTAATCCCCTTCTC